CCATTGGAGAAATACATCTTGTCCTGTCTCTCTTTGCCCATATACCGCCTTGTGGAGGCCGAGGGCGGTGTCTGTGCTCCTCCCCGGCGAATCGGACAGGCACAGCCCTCAAAGAGTGACTCCTCGATGTGCAGACTTCCGGATTTATACGCGGCAAGCGAAGGACCCAGCAACCGGACGGGGGCGTAGCTCAAATGGTAGAGCGGCCGCTTAGCATGCGGCAGGCAGGGGGATCGATACCCTCCGCCTCCAGGGTTCTTTTTGTCATTCGGAATGAGCCGGGCCTCACCGGACATTGCGCAGACGCACACGGCCGGGGCCTGTGTACTTTTTCCTTTTTCTTTCTTTCCCTCTTTCCTCTCTCTCTCTCTCTCTCTCTGTGCTGCAAGGGTTGATAATTGCCAGGGAGCCATGTGAAACGAAGACACATGGCCAAGGGGTGTCGTCCGGCGCTCTTAAGGAGTGGGAGGGGAATGAGGAAGGTGTCGATCGCACACCTGCCCCTTTTTGCATCCCCTGTCCCTTTTTGCACACCGGTCACCTACACTGGTGGACATATGGTGGGAAACTGGCGCCGGAGCGTCGCGCCTCCGAGAGAGAGGCCAAGACGCCTGGCAAGTCTTTCATTGGAGGGAATATATTTTTGGGGTGGTTTCGCACGGGAGGGAGCGACATAGGCAGCGAAGCAGGAGGACGCAGGGAAAAAAAAACACGAGAGGAGGCGACACGCGCGCTGGGGGAAAACACGGAGATGCAAGGACAGAGGGAGGGGGAGAAGGGGAAGGAAGACCGAAAGGAAGCTGCCAATCATGGGGGCCACACGTTCGGCCACCGGCACACGAGGCGACCGACAGGAAGGTGCGCACTCAGACGGTAGCATGCATGTCGTTGAACCAGGGGTGCACGAGGGCGCGCTTGCAAGAAATGCGGTTGGCCGGGTCGTAGATGAGCATTTGCTGTGTGCGAAGCGAAAGAGCGCACGGCCAACATGGCGATTGGACAGACCCAGGTAGGGGGGAAGGGGGAGCGGCGGCGGACAAGAGGGCGGTTAAGATGCAGAAGGGGCCGGAGTGGAGCATCGGTGCTCCGCGGAGCAGCGGACAACGCCCTCCATCCCGGCAGCGCAGAGGCGGAGCCGGGGAGGGACAGGGAGGAAAAGACGAGACATGGTGGTCACCACGCAAGGATGGAAGGACATACCTTCAGCAGGTCCAGGCCAACAGGGTCCAGCCCGGGAACGGCTTCGGCCAGGTCCTGGGCCGGCCACTTGGGGATGCAGTTCTGGTAGTCCGGCAGGCGGACGACCTCGGGCCAGACCTCCTCGGTGGGAGTGCCGAGGCGCTGGAAAATCTTGAAGATCTCGTCAATCTCCGAGTCACCGGGGAAGAGCGGGCGCCGGGTGACCATCTCGGCCATGATGCAGCCGACCGACCAGACATCCACCGGGGTGGAGTACTGGCGCGAGCCGAGGAGAATCTCCGGCGCGCGGTACCACAGGGTGACCACCTCGTGGGTGTACGCGCGAATCGGCACCCCGAACACACGGGCCAGGCCGAAATCCGCCAGCTTGATGTTGCCGATGGTGTCGATCAGCAGGTTGTGCGGCTTCAGGTCGCGGTGCAGAATGCGACGCTGGTGGCAGTAGTTCAGGCCGTCGAGGATCTGGAAAACGTAGGACTGGGGGCAGAGCACGGCAGCGAGGGAGAAGTGCCGGAGAAGGGAGAGACACAGGGCGGGTGAGTTGCTGCTCGTGGCGCCACAGGGCAGGGCCGATGCATGGGGCAGGCCAAAATGGACGCGCGCATGTGCACGAACGAACCTTGACAAGGGCCATGTCCAGAGGGAGGTGGCGGGTGGCCTCGATGTAGCGACGAAGATCGCGCTCCATGTACTCGAAGACCAGGTAGACCTTGCTCTCGTGCTGGATGACATCCTTGAGACTACGTGGGTACAAGGGCGAGACAGAGGGAAGCATTGAACCACGGCATGGGCCCGGACAGAGAGGAGGAGGAGGAGGAGGAGGAGGAGGAAGAACGGCCCGAGGGACGAGAGAGAGAGAGAGAAGGGGGGGGGGAGAGGGGTAGAGAGACGGAGTCAGGGGGAAGAACGGGCAGGGGAGCGATGATGGCAAATGCAAGCGTACCCGATGATGCTCTTGTGCTGGAGCTCACGGAGGACGGAAATCTCACGGATGGCCGTGCTCGGGACACCCTCGTCCTCATTGTCCAGGCGAATCTTCTTCATGGCGACAATGGTCTGAGTGGCAATCTCCTCGGCCTTGTAGACGACACCGTAGGTGCCCTCGCCGATTTTGTCGATCTTCCGGTAGGCGTCCATTGTCTAGCGAGTACGAGGGTCAAGAGGTGTGGGCAGAGGCCGACGGCGGTAGGTGAGGACAATGAAAGGGACGAAAGAGGGAAATAATGTGTGTGCGTGTGTGCGTGTGTGTGTGTGTGTGTGCGAGTAGGCGTACGAGAGAGGAAGCGGGCGGGGTGTGTGCGTGTGTGTGTGTGCGTGAAAGGGGGGGGGGAGACGAAGAGACGGGGCGGTAGCGGCGAGGGAGGAAGGGGAAGCGCTGGGGAGGGAGAAAGATGGAGCTGAGGTGGGGCTGGCAAATGACGGGTTTCGGGGGGTGGATAATGAAGCGGGGCAGAATGGACAGGAGCGCCTCCTCAAGAAGGGCTCTTTCCCTGTTCAGGGAATCGGGGATGAAGGGGGACACCGATGGGCCGGAGCATCGTCCAGGAAACTGCTCCCCAGCCAGGGGCAATGCTCGGGCGCCGGGCAACCCCCACCCCCGGGGGGGGGGGCGAGCATTGTTCGGGTGCCCGGGTCCGAACTGCGGCCGGTGTTGCCGCGACCGTCCGGGGCCGGGATGGAGGGGCTCCCAGCCGGTGCGCAGCCGTGTGGGGACATGGAGAAGGACATGCACGCACGCACGCACGCACGCACGCACGCACACTGGCAACGAGTCCCGCTCTAAGGTCGTGTAACTGGCCTGTCGCGCACATGGGGGCCAGGGGGGAAGGCGCTGGCATGTTCGGCCACAGGCTCGTAGTCCGCGCGCGCGCGCGGACAGGCGGGCAAAGAAGCCCCCGAGCCCCGGGCCGTTGATTCACGCCGGAGCCGGGGCAACATGCTTGTCAGGCATGAGGACAGGGACACTCGGACCCCGCATCGCCGGGGGCGTCTTCTTCCCGGGTACACGCGCGGGCACAATGTGTGTAAGTTGTGGACGCGCGCGGACGCACACACCCACACCCGCACATGCTCACTCACTCACTTGCGCGGATTCGCGGTACACACCTCCAACGGCCAGGGGCCGCGTAACCGATCTATTTAAAAAGCCGCCCCCCCCCCCCCCCCGGCGCCCAGGCTCTGCCCCGGTCGGTGTATTTAAACAGGGAAGAAAAAAAACCGCTCTCTCCCACGTGATCCACGAATACGTTCATTGGCATGCTAGGTCCCCTTCCGGGCGTCCGGTTTGTAATGTGCATCCAGAGGGCGGGCTGGCGGGGGTCCTCGCAACGATCACCTCTCACGCATTGTCCGTCGTATGGGGCCCGGTTCCGCGAGCAGTGTTCATTATGCCCTGAGAGGAACTGACATTCGATCGAATGGTGTGCCGTTGGGCCGCAGACCAAAAGGGTCGGACCGATCGTGCATTGTCCGGCCAGCAGGCCCGGGGCGCAGGTCAGGATACCGGGCACCTGGCGCGTGGGCGCGCACCAAGCTGACACGGACTTCAGATGCGCACGCCCCCAGGCCAGGGGGACCAACAGTTGTGTGTGTGTGTGTGTGTGCGTGTGCAAACTTGTCTACAGGGGGGAGGGGAGGAGACGGTGAGGAGCAGGGTGAGGCCAGCGTGGAAATCGGCCTCCTCGGCCTTGGGCAAAAAATACCCCCCCCTCCCCCTCACCCACACTCACTGACACATTGGCTGTAATCCAGGGCTGTCTATTCGGCCTTCTCCTTCAAGAAAGGCAGGATGATCCATTGTCTACTGGTCCTTGGGCTTCGTGTGGGACCGAGACGCCGAAGAGGCAATTCTCCTCCCGGGGGCCGGCTTGCTGGACGCGGTCGTGGTGCCGTCGCTCATGTCCAGGATGTTGGTGTACCGAAGAATGAACCAGGCCTCTGCCACGGCAGTGACGATGGCACTGAGGATTGACAGCAGTACACGCTGGGAGGGAGGGAGGAAGTGTGTGTGTGTGTGTGTGAGAGAGAGAGAGAGAGAGAGGCACGGTCAGGGCAGGGGCACGTCAGCAGCATGAGGCACCTGACGGCAGGCAAGAGACACGGGGGAAAACGCACGATGGCCATATCGCCAGAGGCATACTTGGAGGCCGCAAAGACCGCACCCCCGACACCGAGGACACTGAACATCATATTGATGATGGCAGTGATCTGCCGGCTTTGAGTGCGGATTTCACTGATGTCCAAAATGTTGGTCGTGTCCGAGGGGCCCTGAATTGGAGCAGACTGCCGGGCCCACAAGGGACAGTCCATTCGGAGGACCATATGCACAATCAATGGTCAGAGGGGAGCGGTTGTGGCATGTTGGCAAGGGGCGGAAGGGGCAGCAAGACAGCGGGTACACACCGTGCCAGCCAAATCACCGGTCCGCTTGCGGATGCCCTTGCCCACCATCTGGGCGTAGTCCGTGGCATCGAGCTGATCGCGGAGTTTTTGCAAGCGGGCAACCAGCTGAGGGTCCTGTGACAGGGAAGGAGGGCGGTTAGGGAGAGGGAAAGGCATCGAGGATCGTGCGGGGGGCGGGTCGGGGTGAGACTGAACATACCCGGTGAACACGGACCGGGGCAGGCCATTCAAGGCCGCCGGCCTCCCCGGCGCACAGTCGGCGCAGAGGAATCCCTGATGGGGGGGGGGGGGGGAGAGGGGTGGTCAGGGTCAGCGCCGAACGTGACAGCGAGATAGTGGCAGGGATGGTGGTGAGGCGAGGTCTGTCGATCGAGATGGCAAATTGCCACACACCAGATAGGGTGGAGATCTTCCGAAGCGTGTCCAGATCCGACGAGACACTGGAGCCAGCGGGTGGGGAAGAGGAGAAAGGGGAACAGGACGGGGCGGAGCCCGTGGCGTCAGGGGAGAGGAATGGGCGGGGATGTCCATGCAAAAAGCATGGGGAAAGACCATCTGGAGGCTTGCGCACCTCTCGCCGGACTTGAAGGAGGAGATGGACGCCTCGAGGGAGGTCAGCCAGTCGCGATGAACCGTTTGGCCGCGGTGTGTCAGAGTGACGGCGGCAGCCGAGGCGGTCTCAAAGCCGGAGGCCAGGTCGCTGGCCAGATCCCCGGCAATGGCGGCCGTTGTGGGGGTCCAGCGAAGCGATACGCCAAAGGCTTGTGGGGTCCGGTACACCGGGGCGAGGAAGTCGGGCTCCTCAGCCGGGGTGTCGGCGAGCCGGGGCGCGTCGGCCGATGTGGCGCGCATGTTGTGTGGTAGGGGTGCGAGGACGGGAGGGGGAGGGGGGGGGAGGGGGAGGAGGAGCGGGGGAGGGGACAGGGATGGCACGCGGGCTGGAGGAGGGCGGGGAATACGGGCAAGCCTTGGCGGGGACACGGTCTTGCCCCACCTGCAAATGTGTCTGTGATCTTCCTGCCAGGGGAGGGGGCCAGCCTCGGCCCGGCGCTCTGCCTCGCCGACCGGAGATTGCCCCAGACTTTTTCCCCTACCTGGGAGGGCATGGTCCGATCGGGGTGGGTGGGTGGGAGGGGGGGGGGGGGCGGGTTTGATCCCCCCCCGCCCATGTAGGCGGCCTTGGCGCCGCGGTCAGCCGGGGCGTGTGCAAGTGTGCGTGTGTATCTGCGGCTCTCTGGGCTCTTGGGGGGGGGGCGGGGGGCGTCGAGCGGCTTCCCTGCTCAGTGGGCGGCTCGGTCCTGGACGATGATCATGCCGCTAGATCAGGCTGGACACGCACAGGTTGGGCACTCGCCAAGCGATGCCGATTTAGGTGGAGTCTATGGTCACGTACGGGGCATTGCGCACGTATCTCAGCTCACGCGATCACAATCGACTTGGCGGCGCTCCCTCTCTGGGATGCAATAGCATTCTTCTTGGCGCACACAGCCCCTTCGTGTTTTCGGTAGTGGTGGGCGTGAGAGTCAGCGAGACCTACGCACTACCCCCCTCCCTGTAGCCGGATGTATTTTTCGGCAGGGACGGCCCCCCGCGTTCCGTCCGTGTGTGTCCCTCCTTCCAGCTGCTCTGCCCCCCCCCCCCCCCCCCGGGGAGCGGGGCGCGCGCCTGCCCACATGCCGGTCGCCTTGTTTGGGCGCTTGGTCCCGGAGATGGGCCGTGTATCCGCCGCCGGGCCAAAACCATGATGACTGGTTGAATGCCCGAGGAGAAAGGCCAAGATGATGGGCATGGGAGCCCGATTCGCCGGCACCCCAGGCATGACACGCTCCTTTCCCGCCCCCATTCACGGGCCGAAATCCTCAGCCCGGAACCCGACCACAGCCCGAACACCGACCGCGACTTTGCCGATCCGTCATTCTGCCGTGATCCGCCCGGCCAGCGTGTGCTCAATTCCCCACGCAATGGGCGCGTGGCCGGGCGAATTGGGCCGCGGCCGGGCGCATGCTCCACCAGAAGTCCGGAGGGGGGGGGGCGCAGGGGCGAGGGGGGGAGGGGGCGGGGGGGGGGGGTGCCCACGCAGGATGGCAGATGCCCTGCCCTGTTGTTCTGGATCAGTGGGCCACCACGCACACGCGCACACCCACACTTGGGGGAAGACCTGTGAGAGCGGACCCCTGGCCCAGGCCTAGGCCCCCCCCCCCCCCCCCCCCCCCTCCGCTGTTCCCTTCAAATGGGCCTGGCACGGCCCCCTCTGCCGTGCCAGGATTTTCCTCTTCCTGAGTATCTGCCAGAGGCCGCTCCGCGTTTGAAAACGTCCCAGCGCACCCCCCTCCTGCCGCATCCAATACCCGGCACCCCCCCCCCAGTCCTCAGCCACCCTCCTGTTGTGTTCCTTCGTCTTCTGCCGTGCTTCCTCCCCTCCTCCCCTTCTCTACTCCTCCCCCCTCCCCCGGCCGCTTTCCTGCACACCCGCGCGGCTCTCTCCCGGCTTCTTGCCGACCATGTCCTCCCGATCGATCTCGGCCTCCTCGGTCATCATCGAGGATTCCGCCATCCTGAGCCCGCAGCCGCATTCGCAGCAGCCAGATCATGAGCCGAGCCAGTTCTCCGGTGACACCGGCAGCTCCCTGGTCCCCGGGTCGAGCCAGGGCGCCAAGAAGCGCTCGACCCAGGCCTCGCGCGACTCGGTGATCTGCCTCAACTCGGCCACCGGCGCCAGCGGGACTCGCATTCGTTTGGAGGACATCAGCTCCACTCGGACCACGGTCACCATGGTGAACACCGACGATGCGTACCAGCTCGAGCCGCTGGGCGTCCAGTACGTCCATCACCATCGCCATCGCGCGTCATTGTCTCTCCGCCGGGCGGCCCCCACGCCGATGGCGCTGGCATTTGCCCATGCCTGACCTCCCCTCCTGCTCCCTCTCGTGCGGCTCTCTGCCAGCAGGAAGACCCAGAAGAAGTCCTCGACCGGCAGTGGCGACAGCCTCCGCCAAGAGCAGCAGCCTCTCATCGACTTCGAGAAGAGCTACGTGGATGTCGAATCATCCAGCTTCCTGAAGCTCAAGCGCTCGACGCGGGATTTCTACTCCAACCAAAACGACGAGATTGATAGTGCGTGTCTGCCGTACTCTCCGCCCCCGCCCCCGCCCCCGCCCCCGCCCCCCTTCCCCTCTGCCTCTTCTCCGAATGCTTGGCCAATGATTGACCCCTTTTCCATGGGGCCAAAGGCTTCCGCCGCTTGCAGGACCTCAACCTGGACGATGATCCGCTGGCCGCGCAGAATGCCCACTCGGAGGCCGAGGCGCGCAAGGCCCGCATCGAGCGCCTTGTCACCACCGTTGTCCTGGTTACCAATGTCCTTCTGCTGGCCATCCTCCTGACGGCGGTCATCATCTCCGGCGCCCTGTCGCTGGTGGCCTCGGTGATGGACGCCGCGCTGGATCTCCTCAGTGGCGCGGTCATCATGCTGACCGCGCGCGCCAAGCAGAAGGTCAACTTCTACCGGTATCCCCAGGGCCGCGAGCGCATCGAGCCGGTGGGGATTCTCGTCTTCTCGGCCATCATGGGCACCTGCTCGCTGATGCTCATCGTCACGGCCGTTCAGCTGATGGCCGGCGAGGAGCTGGCCCCTCCGGGGCTGGACTGGCTGTCGATCGGCCTGGTGCTCGGCGACATCGCCGTCAAGGCCGGCCTCTACCTCTTCTGCATGTACTATCGCAAGGAGACCTCCCTGGCCGTGGTCCTGGCCCAGGACCAGCGCAACGATGTCCTGGTCAACTCCGTGGCCCTGGGCTCGGCCGCTCTCGGCACCTATGTCTGGCCCTACCTCGATCCGATTGGCTCGATCCTCATTGCCCTCTACACGGTCTACAACTGGGGCTCCACCTGCCTCGAGCAGATCACCATGCTGACGGGCCGCAGTGCTGAGCCTGAGTTCCTCAAGCAGCTGACCTGGATTTGCGTCAACCATGATGACAAGATCGTGGCCATCGACACGGTTCGGGTGCGTAAGGAAGGCGAGCCCCCGGGGGGGGGGGGGGGGCGATGCTCATGGGCGTGGGCATGGGCGTCGGGATTTGATGTGCATCCTCTTATTAGGTGGTGTTCTGTGGCGGCCTGGCCATGCTTGGTTCCCCATTCGCGATGTCATTCTAATGCCTTCTGCGCGCCTCCTCCTCGCTTCCTTCCTGTGCTTCTTGCCCGGCCATCCTCCGCGCCAAATGGCGCAGGCCTTCCACTTCGGTACCCGGTATCTGGTCGAGATTGATGTGGTCCTCCCGCCGGCCATGCCGCTGGAGGAGGCCCACAACATCGGCGAGGCCCTCCAGCGCAAGGTCGAGCGTCTGGAGGAGGTCGAGCGCGCTTTCGTTCACCTGGACTACGAGTTTGATCACCATCCCCAGAGTGAGCACAAGACCTGGGGCGCCAACTAATCGCCCAGGCTCTCCTTCGGTTGGCTCTGCCATATCTCCCCCCTTCCTCCCCCCCCCCTCCCCCACCTGGTTCGCCATTTTCTTGTAACATATATTTCTTCCCCGGATGTCATCTGCCAAGGTCCGTTTCGTGCGCCAGGGAGATCGGGCAATTTTCTTTTATATGAAGTTCTTGTGCAAGGAGCAGGCCCGCTCCCCCTGGATGCGGCAGAGGCGCCCTTGTATACAGGTGAGCGAGCACCCCTTCGCGGAGGGGGAGGGGAGGATGGAGGGGGGACCAGTAGAGCCTACGAGGTGAGTGCCTTGGCCAGCGGAAGCACCGGCGACCCCTCGATGCTGGACTTGGAAATGTCCAACGGGTTACCGGATGAGGGGGCCATCAGACCGGAAGGCTTGGTGGAGATGGTGTTGTCGGCCTCCTTCTTCATGTTCAGACGAGCCTGCGTGTAGACCAGGCCCGAGATGAAGCCTGTGCACATGAGGCACGGTTAGTGACCTGGACCGGGGAAGGGGGGCACATGAGCCAGGAGCGGTGGTCTGGGGCGCACCAAGGATGATGGACAGTACGGTGCCAACGGTGACGGCATCACG